GTTCAATACATATCTAATCTGTTCTGGAAGCGCTGGGTCCGGGAATATCTGCCATTGCTGCAAGAGAGACAGAAGTGGAACCAGAGGAAAAGGAGTTTAGTTCCTGGTGATGTAGTAGTCATCATGGATTCATCAGCTCCACGTGGTTCTTGGCCTCTTGGAAAGGTGTTGGAGGTTTTTCCTGACAAAAGGGGCCTAGTGCGTTCTGTCAAGCTACAGACTAAAAGCAACATTATTGAGAGACCTGTAACTAAGCTTTGCTTAATACAAGAGGGGTAAATTGAATGATGTTATTTGCATACTCATGTACATATTTGAGATTTTCACATTTGGCTCCTGTATTATTGTGTTGAATTGTAATGTTTGTCTACCACTTACAATTAGGGGCCGGTGTGTAGGAGCCAATTAAGACATCTACTATAAGTAGGAACTAACCTGTGTAGGTTCAGGTGCCACCCGGAAAGGGAAACAGATTTTTGACCACACCCGCACTCACACACACACACACTCACCGAACCTACTCTGTATTCACCTGGTGACATGAAACTCAAGGCAGAGGAGCTGCAGTTGAGTTGTGAATTTGTGAACTGTTGTTGGACTATTAATGCTTGAATGGAAAAGAAATACTACATGGAATAAATGGACAATTTACAACCGGCAAGTACTGAATGGACAATATTTCATTTAATCGGAAGGTGAAAATGTGCGTCAATTAACTAATCCGTGGTGGAGCACCTCAGTGGCCTAAAGCGTGGGCTTGGCCACTATAAATAGTATGTATCATGATATGACTAACACCTAATGATTTGATTTTTATTTTTTGAATTACAAATTTTCAGTTTTTACTACTTATTGTTTGCTTTTGCATTTATGAATTAAACCTGATAACCCTTAATGTGTCCTTGTGTTTTTGAATACTTGAGTATTTTCCGTGAGTCTCTCCCTGATTGATTGGTTGTCTCAAGTTTCAAGGTTCATTATATTCATCTGTGAAATCATTGAAACAACTGACTCCAGTTTTAGTAACTTTATTTTATCAGATTATCTCAGAGAATTCAAGATCTGTTTTTTCAAGAGACCTGAGAAGAAGAAACAGTCAAACATCCAGACAACGGAAAAGACTTGGTATGTTTGAATGATGGAAGGGCACCAGGGAAGATGTGCGTAAAGGACATGAATCTATATTGGACTTGACACCGGTGTCTGATGCTTTGGCCATGAAATGTAGTTGGGAGATATGGGAGGAGTCTTGTGTTGGGAGTGACCACTATCCAGTAATTCCAACAGTGGATATTGAGGCAGAAAGGGTATCAACACAAGGAGTACGAAGGTGGGTGTTTGAAAAGGCAGACTGGGATAAGTTTGAGGTAAGTAGTGAAGATAAAATAGTAGTAGTTGATGAAAGCCAGGGTATAGAGGACTTAAATGAGAGTCTCTGGAAAAATCCTTGAGGCAGCCTTAGAGGCAATTCCAAAAAGTAAAGGGAAAATGAAAAAGAAAGCTGTGCTGTGGTGGACAGATAAGTGTAGCAGTGCTGTAAGTGACAGGAACAAGGCCTTTAAAGACGACACACATTTAAAACCACTTAGTTTGGTATCAGAGAGCCCAGGCTGTATTAAGGAGAACCATAAGACAAGCAAAAAGGGAGAGTTGGCAAGATTTTGTAATAAGATTGGAAGAACAACTCCAACAGGAGATGTGTGGAGTATGATAAAAAAGAACGGGGGTTAATAGAAAGGAGTGGGAGTATCCAGTTTTAGAATCTGAGGGAGAAGTGGCAGTTACAGACAGGGATAGGTCACAGGTGATGGCAAAAGCATTTGAGAAATAACAAAGAGACAACACTTACGAGCATTAGAAAGGAGTATGGATTTGGAGGAACACTCAAGTAACTGTCCTTTTACTTTAGATGAAGTGAAAAGAGCTATGATATGTAATGTTGAGGCGCCTCAATAATGGGGCATTAAAGAAACTTTTGGCTTTTTATAATAGAGTGTGGGAGGAAGGAAGGCTGCTGAAAGCCCGGAAAGAGGCTGTAATAATACCTGTAAGGAAGCCTGGGAAAGATCTAAGCCCTCTAATTATAAGCCTGTTGCTCTCACATCAAATGTGTGTGAGATCATAGAAAGAATAGTTACTGAATGGTTGACATATTTAAAGAAAAGAGATCAATTTTAATGAATTATCCGATCATTTGCCTTGAGATTAGAAAAGCACAAGCTAATAAAGAGTCTTTTTTGATGTTGAGAAAACATATGACATGATGTGGAAGGATGGTCCACTGATAAAGTTAAAATTTATATATAAGAGGAATGATGTTCAATTGGATGAAGGATTTTATGGAAGGTAGAGCTGTCCAAGTAAGGATAGGAAATAAAATATCAAATCAATATGAGGTGTTTTTTCTGTTGTTTTTTTCTCAGATTCAACCAGACATAGGCAGATCTCTTTTTGCTGATGATGGAGCTTTGTGGAAAAGGGAAAGAAATATCTTGCATATGAATTGTGATCTTCACAAGGAAAAGAGTTCTGCCTGAAGTAAACCTGCAGATGTACAGAAGAATACTGAAGAGAGGAATTCTTTTTGATTCAAAGTTAACATAGATTTGACCATTTAGATAAAATAGTTGTGAAATGTCAGAAGGTTTTAAATGTCATGAGGTGTCTAAGTGGGGTGGAATAGGGAGCAAGCTTTTCTTCATTAAAAACTATCTCTGTGACAATGATCCGGTCTGTGTTAGATTATGGAAGTGTCGTATATGGCTCATCTTAAAAAGATTCTGCTGGGAAAAGTGGACAAGATACAAGCCCAAGGTGTAAGACAGTGTAGTGGTGCAGTGAAGACAACCCCTGTCTCGGCCCTACAAGTCCTCGGGGGAGAGATGCCTTAGAAACTAGGGAACAGTTAATGACTGACTACTGGGTTAGTCTCAAAGGACATAAATAACAACGTCCTGCAAAAGTAGTGATGCAGGAGTGTTGGGAACAAGGTACAGGGCAAAGAGTTAGCTTCGGGAGGGCTGGTAAAAAAATATACAGAAGATATGGGGGTAAATAATATCAAGATGAGCCCGACAGTAGTGATCCCAGAGCTTGAACCACGGACAGACCACAAACAGATTTGTGGCTGCTGGAGCTCAGGAAGGCAGAGAGAGGGAAAGTGGATTTGTTCATCAACAATATTTTCAGCAAATCCCATTAAGTAAAGCAGAAGTCAAAGCAATAATTTGTAATACAGCAATAGAGGAATGGCAAGGGAAGTGGAACACAGAAACAAGGGGAAGATCTCTGTACAGATTAAACAATAAGAAATATTGGTAGCTCAAGAAGAGAGGAGGCCATATGCAACAGAATAGGGTCATTCCAATTTAAACAGCACAATCAGAATGATAGGAAAACACCCAACCGGCTTGTGTGAATATTGTCAGGCAGAGGAAACAATAATACATGTAATTACACAATATGATATGTATGAGCTAGAGAGACAAGCTATGAAGGAAGAGCTCAGGAAGGTGGAGATTCATGACGTCACACTCAAAACATTGATGGATTTACCTAATGGGCAGAGCAGAAAAGTCCTCATTGAGTTTCCTAGACAGAATTTAATCTCTGAGCCGCACTCCGGAGCAGAAGGTGGCGGTAATGCGCCTATTACTCTGGTTTACAACCGCCTTTAAAAACCTAAAAAGAAGAAGAAGAAGAAGAGGGAGAAGTGTTTTTACTTTCACTTTGCCACGTCGTGTCGCAGCAAGAATTACTTCAGTGGGTGAGTGAACTCCACTTAGGATCGATAAAAATAACAAATTAAACTAAAAGTAAAGTAAATATATATCGTTGTAAGTTGATAAATGGAACGTATTAAATGAAAACGCACGGATCATCTTGTATTTTCTGATCAGGTTCAGTTTATTATCAGAGTAAAGTCATTAGCTGATCTGAAAACAGTGATCGATGTAGAAACTATATAGTGTATGTTCAGTGTTTCACTGTGAACTGCTGCAACACGCAGCTGAACATGTGAAGTCTGTCAGAGAAGGAAACGGGCTTCATGTGTTTGAGGCGGAAATACAAACGAATATCAGAATCGGACCATTACACGGTTGCAGGCTGCAGATCAGTGGCCAACGCTGACCCGCCACCAATGACATCTGGCCCGACAGATTATTTTTGAGAGTATTTTCTTTTTGTTTATCTAAAATAAATAATTTTATCCAAAATTATCTTTAAAAAAAATAGATCTCCGTCTGAGCAGCAAGTTACCCGCAAAATCACTTCCTCTTTAGCGATATTTGCCAAGAGAAAATGGCGCAGGAAAGTTGTTTGCAGCAGCAACAATGTTTTATTTCAAGCTATTGTGAGCTTTTATTCTGAACTGCTTGACAGAGGGAAGTTGGCCCGAGACCACACTCGGCTGCACACCTGCTGTAGACGGTGTCTGAACACACTTGGCTGCACAGAGACTGTGGGAGCTATTTGGTGTTATTTAGTTTAGTGTTTAGATTTCATTATTCTATTTTGATTTTATTACGATTAAATTTCTGTTAGAATTCTGTTAGTTTATCATTTCTGTAGTTCGGGTGTTTTGTTGTTATTTGTTTGTTTCATTTGGGCACGGTAAGGAGGCACCGTAGGTTATATAGGTAAGCGCACGGTAGGGACCAGCATGCACCTGGGTGGGCAAATGGTTTTTTACCGGAGCGGGAGAGGCACAGGAATTTTTCTTTGTTCTGTGTTTGCTTGTTATCCGATTAAATAAATCACGTTTTTTGTCAAAAATTGAAAGTCGTTTGGACCTTATGCTTTCTCCCATCCGTGTACACCACAACCCACGGTGCAAAAGTGGCCTTTTGAGTTTTCTATGATTTAAAGTTTGATTAGAAACTTTTCGTTGCTCTTTGTGGACAAACGGCCACTATAGAGACGGTTGTTTGGATGGAAAGCAGCTTGTAGCTCCTTGTTTACCTCAGTACTCAGGAAAGAGGCTCGTTTGTCTCACAACAACAACAACGTTTCAGTTTTGAGTTGTTGAACTGGAAGGTTTGAATCTGTAAGTCTGTGTCATAAATTTAGGAAGTTCTGCACATTCATGTTCAGGTTAACTGATGTAACATAGTAAAACAAGTTAACAACTGGTTAACAGTCATTTTCCTTTTAGACTGTTAAACCCAGCAGCTGGTCTCCAGCTCACTGAGCGACATCATGGGCGGTGAACAGTCTGGTGAGTCTTCATCAGTCTAACACACTGTTCTCTCACAATGTTCATGTTACACTCATCAGAAACCAACCGTGTCCTGTCTCAAGTTGTAATGACATCACTATGACCAACAGTTGTGTATAAGTCAGTTATTTTCAGTAATATTGTTCTTTCATTGAAATTCATTTGATTTTCAAAGCTCAAATATTATATTTATAGATAACGACAGTCATTATATAACTATCATTATTTACTCTAACATTATCCCAGAGGAGTTAGGTTACACAGAAAATACATGCATTTTATTGTGCACGGAGAACTGCGCTGTTTTAGTAAATAATTTATTTAATCATGTGTCTGTAGTTTGTGGAGATGGTATGGAGTCACAGGAGTGGGAAAAATAACTGGAAATATATACAGGAATAAATAAGATAATAAAAAATGCTTTTACCCTTTTGCTTTTGGTTTTACCCAATTGCTTTGCTACTCCTTCAAAGCTGTCAATCAACTGGCTTTGGGCAGGTTTTACACACATGAATCCAGCTTTGGCTGAGGATTTTTTGGCTCGGCCGACAGGAAGGAGTCACAGATAAACTCACCACCTGAAACATGGGGACAGTTCTCCTAATGGTGATGAAGATATGAACAAACAATAAACAATAAAAACTGTAACAATGAACTTCCCAGGAGCTGGGAGAGAGAGGCCACACCCACATACAAGAGGGGAGGGGGACTAGAGCTGAGACAGAACCAATGATGTGGAGGCTGACAGTCATGTGATGTTTCAACAGTCAGGATCATTATACATCACATGTGAATGAGTGAATTAATCCCTTCATTTTCTGTGTCCCTACAGTGGCAGAAGCAGGGGCTTGGTCAGCTGCAGGTAAGTCAAACTGAACTGACTGATGAATATTCTCTTGTGTTTTAACATGTAGAATCAGAGTTTTGTAGGTGGTTGGTACAAACTCACATTTTATTTCAGGTCAGTGTGAATGTGTAAGTTTCATGTTGATAATGGACGACAGATTCTCTTCAGTCCACCTTAAAGAAGCTGTGACTTCCTCCCTGGTTGTTGATCCACTTTGATTGTGTTCAGATAGATTAAGGTTGCACTTAGTTGTGTTTTCTAATTCTAAAGTTTTTCAAGTTAATTGATTAATTAACTTTGTGAGATTTCCCAGTCAGTGTGAATGTCAGTGACTGGTCACCTGTCCAGGTGTAACCCAGGAACTCACCTGTTGTAACCTGGAACAGGTTTCAGCCCAAAATATAATAATTGTCAATAATGTATAGGTTACAGGTCCTGGTCCAGTTGTGACAACATCTGGGTCTGAACCCAGACCACAGTCCGTCTGTTAGTGACCTCGGCCAACGGCTGACGTTACTCTGTTTACCAGAAATCAATTCTTCTTCACTGCTCTATAACTGTAGCTGCCAGTGGCTGTAACTTCCTGTGTAGACTACTGATTTAGAGCAGTGAAGAAGAACTGATTTCTGCTGTTTTATGTGAGTGTGAAACTATGAAGTTTATCAATAGAGACGTGGTATCTGATCGGTGCATAGACCCGTGAACTCATTGATTCCTGATCTAGTATTTTAGGCAGCATCAGAGGCGTTTCCAATACTAGTATCAGAATCAGAACAACTCCAGTTCAGACCGAGCAGAGAAAACTATCAGTCTGTTAAAGCTGTGACAGAGTTAATGCAGGTTGTGGACACCAACAGTCATGGAAGGTTTGAAGTAAAAGACTTATTACAGAAATCATGTGAATGAATGAATATAATCATTTTCTGTTTCACCACAGCATCACCTCCACGATCTTCACCATTCCTGATGCGTAAGTCAAACTGAACTGACTGATGAATATTCTCTTGTGTTTTAACATGTAGAATCAGAGTTTTGTAGGTGGTTGGTACAAACACATTTTATTTCAGTGAAGTATTTGGATATTTGGGGTTGGATGGATTAATGGAACGTCTCTAGGAACAAGTGGCTGTGAGCATATCTACCACAGAGCAGACTGAACAATGTGGTGAGGAGTGGAGAGCAGCCTCTTGAACTGGTTACTTGATGGTTGGATGTGAAACAGGTGAAACAGGTGTGGAATGAAGCCAGGAGCTGGGAGAGAGAGGCCACACCCACAAACAAGAGGGGAGGGGGACTAGAGCTGAGACAGAACCAATGATGTGGAGGCTGACAGTCATGTGATGTTTCAACAGTCAGGATCATTATACATCACATGTGAATGAGTGAATTAATCCCTTCATTTTCTGTGTCCCTACAGTTGAAGAAGCACAGGCTCGGTCAGCTGCAGGTAAGTCAAACTGAACTGACTGATGAATATTCTCTTGTGTTTTAACATGTAGAATCAGAGTTTTGTAGGTGGTTGGTACAAACTCACATTTTATTTCAGGTCAGTGTGAATGTGTAAGTTTCATGTTGATAATGGACGACAGATTCTCTTCAGTCCACCTTAAAGAAGCTGTGACTTCCTCACTGGTTGTTGATCCACTTTGATTGTGTTCAGATAGATTAAGGTTGCACTTAGTTGTGTTTTCTAATTCTAAAGTTTTTCAAGTTAATTGATTAATTAACTTTGTGAGATTTCCCAGTCAGTGTGAATGTCAGTGACTGGTCACCTGTCCAGGTGTAACCCAGGAACTCACCTGGTCCCACATGACCTTGAACAGGATCAATGATTCACAGAACCAATAGATGGATGTTTGCTTCAGATTTGCTGACACTCATTTTTACTGCACATGATCGTCATATTCCACAGCAGTGTGTCACACAAACCACTGAAACCATCAAGCTGCTCTTTGTGTCTGTTTTAGTGAGAACAGACGTCACAGGTACTGAGGTGTGGTCTCCAGATGTTGACACAGATGCAGGTATAATGGACTTGGTTCGGACAGAGCAGATAAAACTGTATCAGGCTGTGAAAGTGTTAAAGGGGACCTGTCATACTTTCTGAGTTTCCCCTTACTTATAATGTGTTATAGAGGTTTTTGTGCATGTGAATGGTCTCCAGAGTCACAAGGATCAAAGTTTACACCAAAGGTAGTAACTCAGGGTAAAAACCACATTTTGTCCTTGGTATGAAATGTCTTGTTTGGGGTCCAGACATTACTTCCTGGTCCTATTGACATCAATACATCTCTGGGTGCTGCCCACCTACAAGCCGAACACCTCCTCCAAGCCTGGCACACCCCCACACAAAGCACAGCACATAACTACTTATAAGGAAAGGTTTTCTTTAGTTTTGGAGGACTGCTTCAGAAACCAAACATTTAGACACTTCATTTTCACACCGGTTATTTCTTTAATTCACACTTAATGTGGCCGAACAGGGGACTCAGGCTCGCAGCCTGTCAATCTGCATTATTATTGTGGATCTGTGATGTTTACCTCGTTACCGTGTCCTGATCACATTAATAAGAAGCGGCAGCAAAGATATAAATGCTTAAACATTCGTCAGTATTGACATGCTGTACCTCGTTAGCTTCTGATGATGCTTCCTCTCAGGTTGCACCGGAGTTTCTTAATATAACTAAGTCTTTCACTCCTACACAGCACCTTTCTGGGCCCACACATAGAGCAGGACAAACTCTGGACTTAGTTTTCTCTTACGGCCTGACTATTGATAATGTTGTCCTGGAGGATTTCCTGGTCAGCGATCATAAGTGGGTTATTTTTAACGTTTCTTGTAATTTGGATGTGTTGCCCCATGAATATATATCTCGCATTATTAATCAGACCACAGCTGAAAATTTTACAACTCTCTCACCCCCAGGTGAACTGTCATACTGTAACATGGAGACATTGGTCCAGTTATTTAACAAAGAGTGCTCCTGTGTGTTAGACATAGTTTTTAAATCAAGAAAAATCTCCTCAGTCAAATCCTCACCCTGGATGAACGAGTCACTCCGCAGATTTAAGCGTCAATGTAGGAGGACAGAGCGCTGACTGATAAATATTCTCTTGTGTTTTAACATGTAGAATCAGTGTTTTGTAGGTGGCTGGTACAAACTCACATTTTATTTCAGTGAAGTATTTGGATATTTGGGGTTGGATGGATTAATGGAACGTCTCTAGGAACAAGTGGCTGTGAGCATATCTACCACAGAGCAGACTGAACAATGTGGTGAGGAGTGGAGAGCAGCCTCTTGAACTGGTTACTTGATGGTTGGATGTGAAACAGGTGAAACAGGTGTGGAATGAAGCCAGGAGCTGGGAGAGAGAGGCCACACCCACAAACAAGAGGGGAGGGGGACTAGAGCTGAGACAGAACCAATGATGTGGAGGCTGACAGTCATGTGATGTTTCAACAGTCAGGATTATTATACATCACATGTGAATTAATTTCTTAATTAATTGATATCAAAATTTTCTACATCACCGCAGGGCTTAGAAGATTGGAAAGACATCGAGGTAAGTCAAACTGAACTGACTGATGAATATTCTCTTGTGTTTTAACATGTAGAATCAGAGTTTTGTAGGTGGTTGGTACAAACTCACATTTTATTTCAGGTCAGTGTGAATGTGTAAGTTTCATGTTGATAATGGACGACAGATTCTCTTCAGTCCACCTTAAAGAAGCTGTGACTTCCTCCCTGGTTGTTGATCCACTTTGATTGTGTTCAGATAGATTAAGGTTACACTTAGTTGTGTTTTCTAATTCATTGCTTCCATTTAAGTTCATTGATTTAACAGAGAGTAGATAAAAGTTGTTGGTGAGAACCAGAGTGAGTCTGGGTTCTGGATGGTAACTGTGCAGTTCAGGTGGCGTCAGTAAAAACTCCTCTGAAGCAGTTCTCTCAGCAGTTTTATGCCCTTTTTATTTTCAAAAGTGCAGATCACTATAAATTTGAGTCTGTGTGTCTATAGAAGGAAATCAAAAGGAATAATCATTAATTAGTCTCTGTGTTAACACGTTGCTATCATGCTACCAAATTAGCATCAGTATGTGTAAATGTTTTTGTGGGAATCCTAATGGAAAACACTGCTTGTGTAATTTTACAGATTTCAGTGAACGCCACACGACTCATATACCTCAGTCTACACTTAAACTATATAAAACACCAACTCTTAACATAAGAAACAAAACCAACGGTGCATCTGCCATCACCGTCAACCAAACTGTAATAGCATATTCAATGGCATACATATGGCAAATACTCTTCATTTAGTTAGCGAGCTGACCGCTAGTAGCTGCTAACCTTAGTTACAACTTAGACCTACATATCACCAACAATGAACTTCACCTAGATTAACTAACATTGTGTTCACACTTCATCAGACACACACTTCAACACACAACACAGTTCAGACAATACACTGCAGCAACTCCTTCTTAGCGTCTTGAACGCAGCATGAAACGGAGCTGAACAGCTGCACTCAGATGACTGGGCTGAGCTACTACATCATCAGACAGGGAGACGTTTGTCCAATCCTTGTATCAGTCTGTTAAAGCTATGACAGAGTTAATGCAGGTTGTGGACACCAACAGAATTTTTATGTTTTATTTTTTTCTACAGTTGAACATTGGACAAGAAGAAGCAGCCTTGATTTCCTGCCACCCAACAGTAAGTTAAACTGAACTGAGTTATAAATGTTCTCATCTATTTTAACATCTACAATCACAGTGTTCTGCAGGTCATAGGTACAAACTTACATTTTAAATTCAGTTAGATTTTCTTCTGTCCACCTTAAATCAACATGGATTAAATATACACTTAGTTGTGTTTTTTAACTCACTGTTTTCATTTCAGTGTCTGAGCTGAGGG